TCACCACATTTTACAAGTTGGCCACGCCCACCCAGTCACATGGCCGGCAAGTCACTCCCACCCGGTCACAAGGGCCGGCAAGCCACTCCCACCTTGTCACACGGCTGGCAAGCCACTCCCACAAAGCAGGCCATACCTACAGAAGAGGTTCTAAAATTTTTTTGAAACCCACCACTGTTCATGATGGTGTTGTAACTTCGAACAATCACTAAACAAACTGTTGTAAGTCAAGGAGTAACTGTAATCAATTCTGGCTGACTGGAGAATTCTTGGCATTTGGGTCTGGGAGTCTTAGAGTTGCCAAGTTTGGAGACCCCTGGTGTAGTCCCCTGCTCGAGCAAAGGATTGGATTAGAAGACCTCCAAGGTCCCTTCCAACCATATGATTCTATGTCTTATGATATAAACAGGGGTGGGAGTCAGCCGGTTCACACTGGTTCGGTTCGGTAAACCGGTTGTTGTAAGGACCGGCTGGCCTCGCCCACTCTGCCAGTCTCCTTCCAGGAGTCTCCATGCGGCCCATTCATCATGCCAAGTAAGTTCAGGGCCCACGTGGAGGCTCTGGGAAGGCAAAAAACGGGCCTCCTGGAACTCTGGAAATGGGCCCATTTCCAACCTCTGGAGAGCTTCCGGAGCCCAGGGGAGGCTGTATTTCCCCTCCTGGAGGCTCAGGGAAAGCCTCCAGAGCCTAGGGAGGGTGAACGCCCCCCCCACCATGGTGCGGGAGGGTGAGTAGGCCACACCCACCATGGCCATGCCCACCCAGCAAATGGGTAAAGAACAGGTTGTTAACATTTTTCAATCCCACCCCTTGATATAAAGCAGGGGTTTCCAAACGCCATGATGGCTGGGGAATTCTGGGAGTTGAAATCTACAAGTCTCAAAATTGCCAGGTTTGGAGACCCCTGATATAAAGGATTGAAGGTTGAATTCCGGATGGAAAAGGTTGTTTCCCTAGTTCTAGAGAGATGAGCAGGTTCCTTACCTCTGAAGCAAAAGACATGATGCTTCGATTGTGGGTCAGGGAATCCTGTCTGATTGGAGTACAAGTAAATCGTTCTCACACCGGGCTTGTCTCCACCACAGGTAGGGCGGGGATGAACAATCGGATATCGGAGGCTTCCATCAGCCAACCAGCTTGCCTGACAGTTATCTTGGCCTAGTTTCCAGGCAGCGTAGAGTTGTCCAGTGGAAGCCATGGTCGCATTTTGACTCTCACAGTATCTTTGGGCTTCCAAGAAGGTGAATTGTGCTGTCTGAGTTGCAAAGAAGACCTCACCTACACATAATGAATGAAAGGCGGTGAGATCCACTTTCATTAGAGCTACACAGTACTTGGGATTCAAGTTTCCCCATATTCTATAGAGCATAGATCTAGCACCTATCCATAACACCTCCAAGCAGCTGACAAATCCCGTAAATGGATGCCCTTTGGTGCTGTGGGAGGTCCAAATCCAATGCGTTGATTCATCAACACTTCTTGACCTACTGATATCAATAGGTCCTCTTTACCTCACCTTTTGCTTGCTCTTTATCATAGCGTTTCTCAACATTACCAACTTTTAAAATATGTGGATTTCAACTCTTAGAATTCTGGTTGGAGAAT